TACTTTGCGGTGTTCGTGCTTCAATCATATATTGTACTTAGACCACTCGCACCTCAATAAGCGTGAGGGATAGTAACGAAAATAGCCATTTTTGTGCCTTTTTTGTAAAATTACGAACGAAAACCAAACGATTGCCGCTCATTTTGAATATCCACAGCCCAAACGCGAAGACAAAAAAAGGCACAAAAATAGCTATTGCAGCGGATAGCCCGACCTTGAAACCGCCTTTTCCAAAACCCAAGCTACTTACGACTCCCTTAGGCGGTTTTCGAGGGCACGCCAAAATAATGGGTTAATGGTTAGTTGTTAATGGTTAATGTGCGTAAAAATCTGTATAATCAGCGTGCTGCTAAATCCCTGAAAATTTGTGAAAAAACTGCACAAAGAGTTAAAGGAGTTAAAGGAGTCAACAAGCAGCTAAGGTGTGCTTAAGTGGCAAAAAACCACCCGCCCTGACGGGCACCCCTCCAAGGAGGGGAATGAGCGAAGCGAACCCCAATGAGCGCAGCGAACCCCAGATTCGTGAAAATTCGTGCTATTCGTGGCAAAAAAATCACACGCAAAGTGCCACGCATATTCGTGAAAATTTGGGGGTGTGTAAAAAGGCAAGAAGCAAAGGGCAAAAGGCAAAAGGCAAAAATGCAATTTTGTGCCGTTTATTAATTCGAACTAATGCTGTAATTCAGAATGATAAACCGCAAATGCGGAATATTTGAATCATTTGTAACGTGAATTGCCCTTTGCTTTTTTGCCCTTTGCCTTTTTACTCAACCCCCAGGCAGTGCTATTCGTGGCAAAAATGAAATTCTTGCATTAGTGGCATAAAAATTAGTGCAATTCGTGGCAAAAAAATCGTAATTTTGCACACCTAAACAAAAATCAATTCTATAGTATGAAATACAGTATTCTATTTTTTATTTTTCTGGCGTTTTCGGGTGCTGCAATGGCTCAAAAGACTTTGGTGGAAGGCTATACCTACGAAGGTGGCAACCGTGGCTACCTCAATCAGGTGAAAGTAACGGTGTATTCTTTGCCGGAAAATGGCGTAAAAGCAGAGATTTTTACGGATATGGAAGGGAAATTTGCTTGTGAGCTGCCTAGCGGACAAAGTTATCGTTTGTACTTCAAGAAGGATATTTTTCATGAGCTGAATGACACGATTGAGGTTGGAACAGAGAAAATATTCAGGAAAATCAGCATGAAACGGAAGCCGGGTTATGTGTTTGAGGTGACGCTGGCAGAGAGTCGCAGCAACGAAAACCAAATAGTAGATGCCATAGCGGGCACACGTATAGATGTGTACAATAATACCACAAAAAAGGTAGAGTGGACAGAAGAATATCACCCTACGCCATATTTCAAACACAATCTGGAACAAGGAAATCACTATACGCTCCTATTCAGAAAGCAAGGCTATGAGGACAAACAAATCGACGCCCATGTAAATATAGATGGTTGTATAATATGTATTGAAGGTGTGTCGCTATTGCGTCCCGGTGTGATTGACAATCTGACGGCAAACAATACGATGGGGACCCTTTTGGCAAATATTGATATGAAAAAATTGAGAAATTATAAGCCTAGCAATATGCACGACACGGTCTGGGTAAAGACACTGCCTAGCCTTGAGGAAATCGTGCGCGAAAAAGAAATGGATAAAGCTATAAATCAATTGGGCGACCAAAAAGAGGTGAAAATAGCGCAAAATGTGCAAGTAAAAACAACAAATACGGCAATTTCAACGACGTCAACACCTCAAAAAGTGGAGCCTAATACACGGGCACCTGCCGCCTCACCGGTGGAAGAGCCAAACGCTATCCCTGCCCCACGCCGTGAGCAAGTACAATTGCCGGAGGCTAACAATAAGGTAAAACTACCGGAAAAGGAGCAGGCAATTGAAGTAGTAGAGGAAAAAATGATACCGATAGCTATGGAAAAGGAGATTCCGGCTCCCGAGGACACCCCAATAGTAGAATTGAAGGAGGAGGTGACAACGACCGTAACCGCTGAGGGAAGCAACAAAAAGGAGTCCAATATAGGCACCGGAGGAACTTCTACAAGTCCCAATTCGAAGTTTCTGACGCCATTGCCGGATAATTTTACGGGTTACACCATCGAAATAGGCGCTTTCGAAACGCCAATAGACGGCAACGACCAACACTTCAAAAAAAGTGGGCAATTGTACTATAAACAAGAGGCTGACGGCAAATATTACTATTATTCGGGCAATGCAGCATCGCCACAACGCATTATCAGCTACTTCGATGCAGTGGTAAAGCCTCGCTTTGAGTCTGCGCGGATATGCCTATTCAAGGACGGTGTGAAGGAATATGTGAAGTAAACTACACATCTGCTAGGGTCTTGAGCATAGTTTCTATGCGGTTTTCGGTGGTGCCCGTCAGCTTTACACAAGGTACAGCGGTGGTATGCAACAACTTTTCGTACATTTCGAGGAGGACATCGCGGTCGTGCGGGTTTTCGCGCAACGGGTCGGGTGTCCAAGGAAAATCGGGACAACAGATGAAATATAAGTCAGGCAAATGCACATAAAATAAGGACAACAAGTGTGCAGGTATGAAGCCATATTTGTATTGATGCCATATACAGATAACGCTCATATCGGTATCTTCGAAGAGCAACTTTTGGGCTTTGGTTGCGTAGAATTCAGACCAAGCGATTTGCCCTTTAGCCATGGTATTGAGGTCGTCGCGACGATAATTACGCCCTAAGTGCTGTAGGTAGTATCGGGCAAATTCGGGGGAAAAGCAAGTGGAAAAAGCTTTAGCCGCCGCTTCAGCCAAAAGTGTCTTGCCGGTAGCTTCCGGCCCTGTAAATACAATACGCTTAATAATAATAATTTTATTTAGGTTACAACATGCACGATATAGAGCCGTACTACCAGTGGAGAGATGAATATATTGCATCAGAAGACGTGAATTCGCCGTTTTTCAACCGAAAATACAGCGAAACACACTATTCGAAGCGTATATACAATTTCTACATACATCCGCAATGGGATTATTTCGGCTCCGATACGCTCTATATGAAGATCTTATACGTTGACTATGACCACGGTTACGCGCTCATGGAAATGATAGGCGAATGGAATGATTGCCTGTACAACGATATCATGTACCTCAAACGCAAGGTCATCGAATTTCTTTTACAGAAACGCATCTCAAAGTTTATTTTCTTCTGTGAGAATGTACTCAATTTTCATGCCTCCGATGATGCCTATTATGAAGAATGGTACCAAGAGCTCAAAGAAAATGACTACTATGGCTATGTGTTGCTGCTCAACGTGCGTTTGCATGTGGAAGAAGAACTTCTGGGCGCAAAATTACAGAATTATCTGATATTTGGCGAAGATTATTGTGATGTTGAATGGCGAGGTAAAAAACCCAACCATGTATTCGCTATGTGCGAGGAGCTCATACACCATCAGGTGAAGCGCTTAGGCAATGGTTGACGGAGTGATGCATAAGTTACTAACACTAGTCAAAAAAACGAGAAAATGTCTGTCTATTTAGACAAATTACTTGTACTTTCGCAGCTTAAAACAATCTGAGCACAATTTATGGAAAACTTGTTACCGTTGGAGAATAAACCTAAGGCAAAGCACATCGCTATTGCCGGCAATATCGGAGTAGGCAAAACTACCCTATCTGAGCAGTTGGGAAAGCACTTTAATTGGAAAGTGCATTACGAAAACACAGAAACCAACCCATATCTCGCTGATTTCTACGTTGATATGAAGCGCTGGTCGTTCAATCTGCAGATTTTCTTCCTCAATAGTCGCTACCAACAAATCGTCCAAATACAAAAAGGCGAGCACACAGTCATACAAGACCGCACCATTTTTGAAGACGCTTTTATCTTTGCGCCCAATCTCTACGACATGGGCTTGATGACCAAGCGCGATTTTGACAATTATTTCACTTTATTCGAAACGATGTCCACCCAGGTAAAGCCACCCGATTTGCTCATATACCTTCGCGCAAGCATACCCACACTAGTAGAACACATCCAAAAGCGCGGACGCGACTACGAGGGCAGCATCAGTATTGATTACCTCAAGCGACTCAATGAACGTTATGAAAATTGGATAGATGGCTACAAGGACGGCAATCTGCTTATCATCAATGCCGATAATATCGATTTTTATAGCAAACCGGAGGATTTAGGTAAGGTAATCAATACGGTGCAGGGGGAATTGCATGGGCTTTTCTAGTAGATAATTACTATGGCGTGCCCTCGAAAACCGCCTTAGGGAGATTGCGAGGCTTAGTCATTTCGGTAGGCGGTTTCGAGGTCGGGCTATCCGCTGCAATAGGTAAAAAACGCCTCTTGGCTTTTCAGGGTAGCTTTTACAGTCGTTCAAGGCGTTTTTTACCTATTTCCGCTACTATCCCTCACGCACAAAACAACATTTAACACAAACAAACAAGGCTATATGAAAAAAGTAAACTTGTTTCCGGAAGAAAAACCTGCACGAAAACCGCGTAGAAAAAGTTCATTAACTGAATCGAATTTAGAAAAGCTTGAATACATATTGGAAAAAGGAATCCTAGTCAAGCTAGTTAATGAGAGAGAAATGGCCATTCATCAAGTTAAAATGCTTAGGAATTGGGTGTTTTTCCACTTTTTCTTCCTTGCGTTTGTATATTGGCAGTGGGATGCGTATTGGATAAAATATGTATTATGGATTGCCGTGCCAATTTCCCTGTTTAGATTGCTTTACATTCTAATTTATCGGCAGGTGCAAAAAGAGGCGCAAGAAATATACGAGAAGCAAGCGCAAGAAAATTTTAAGGAATGGAAATAAAAAATCAGTTAAAAGTCATGTATTTGACCTAGTTTTGGCTGAGTATAGTATTATATATCCAGCCAAAAGTATGATTTCCAACCTAGTTTTGGCTGAGTATAGTATTATATATCCAGCCAAAAGTATGATTTCCAACCTATTTTTGGCTGAGTATTGAGTATTTCATTGTATCTTAGTGGTTAACAAGAGACATCACCCCACCCGGCACCACACTCAACAACACCAACAAAGCCACAGCAACAGCAATCACCACCTTATAAGCCACTGGCACTTGGATGTGATAATTGTCCGTCATATCATCCGTGAAGTACATAGCCGCCAATATCTTGAAATAGTAATAGATAGAGATAGCCGAATGTAGCACAGCCACCACCACCAACCAAGGGTAACGCTCAAAAGCAGCAGAGAATAAGAAATATTTACCAAAGAAACCGGCGGTAGGCGGTATGCCTGCAAGCGTAAGCATAGATACTGCCATGGCGGCAGCCAAATATGGGTGAGATTTGCCCAAGCCATTGAAGGCGCTGAAGCCTTGCTCATCGCCTTGCTGCTCACTGATCAAGATGAACACCGCAAAAGCAATAATGGTAGCAATAGCATAAGTCGTAATATAAAGAAACAACGCTCCAGCACTGCCGGCTACACCAATAGCCAATATGCCCAACATCAGGTAGCCCGCGTGCGAAATACCCGAGTAAGCCATCATGCGCTTGAAGCTCTTTTGGAATATAGCAGAGAAATTGGCGATAACCATGGTCATGACGGCAATCATAGCGACTACAGGTCCCCAAGTGTCCATTTCCGCAGCATAAGCGATGCTAAACAAGCGATAAAACGCTGCAAAACCCGCTATCTTCACCAAGGTGGACATGAACAAAGTGACCAAATTGGGGCTTCCTTGATATACGTCAGGTGCCCAAAAGTGAAATGGCGCCGCTGATACTTTAAAGCTAAATCCGATAAGCACCAAAGCTATACCGGCATGTACTAGGCTTGCATCACCTTTGTGAAGTGCAAGGGTGTTGCCGATGGTCTGTATATCGAAGGTTGCTGTAGCCCCGTACACCAAAGCCGTACCAAAAAGGAAAATACCCGTAGCAAATGCACCCATAAGGAAGTATTTGAGGGCTGCTTCGTTGCCTCGTAGGTCGTCGCGACGGCTACCTGCCAAGACGTATAATGGTATAGAAAGTATCTCAATGCCTAGGAAAAGCATCACAATATTGTTGAAGCTGAACATCACCACAGCTCCGCACAAGCTAAAAAGGAACAAAGCCAGATTGTCGCCTATGGTATTGCGCAAATTGCGGTGCGAGAAACCGGAAAGTCCCATGATCAAAGCACTTATAACCAAAGCCGAGGTGGTAAAGCCTCGTGCATAGCCATCAAACAACAACATGGAGTTGTACTTGGCTGTCCAATCATCTATAAAGGTACACCCAAGCGCACTGTACGCTAAGGCCAGCAATATGCCCGCTATGCTCAAAAACTGCAACAGGTTCCTCTGACGGTACAAGCCGGCGAACAATACTATAATTGCAGTGACAAAAAGTATAATTATGACGTTCATCAACGAATATTTTTAAAACACGTATTATTTCAGGTTTTTTCAATAACCTTCGGCTTTAGCCGGAGGACAAAAAGGGCGACTAACTTTTTGGGTTTTAACCCCATCCCTTCTCCCAAGCCTTTGTCTGGTGTTAAAACCCCAAAAGGAGAGGGCACATTCTAAACCACCGGCTGAAGCCGGTAGTTATTGAAAAGAACCACTTTATGCTTATGCAATGAGTTAATAAAACCCATTGGATTTTGTAAACTTCCTTTCCAATGGATTTTAAACCATTGGCGCCCGCAGCAGGGATAGTAGCGGAAATAGCTACAATAAATCGCCAACCAATACTGCTTGGGCTTTGCTGAAACACCTGAGGCGATTTATTGTAGCTATTGCAGCGGATAGCCCGGCGACTCAAAAAAACTGCCGGTTCCTACACCTAAGCGTTAGTAATACGGCAAAACGGCAGTTTTTTTGAGGCGGCTGCCATGGGAATTATGAGTTATGAATTAAAATTCTAGTAATTATTAATTCAATTTTATTGTACCAATCCAAGCACCCTTTCAATGCTTTTCATAGTAATATCGTTCAATACCTGCGGGAAAAAGCCGAAATATAGCACCAAAACAGCCAAAACACCGAGTACAATGGTCTCTTTTATATCCAAATCAGGGAAATTGGCGGTCTCCTCATTGGTGGGTCCGAACATGCTCAAGCCATACACGCGAAGCATATACACCGCACCGAATATAATGGTCAAGCCTGCTACCGCGCCCAACCAATGATTGTAATCCCACACGCCGTACAAAAGCAAAAACTCTCCCACAAAACCGTTGGTGAGCGGCACGGCTATACTTCCCAAAAGGATAATTAAGAATAAAGTCGCAAAAACAGGCGCATTTTTGGCGATTCCGCCCATGTCGGAGAGGCTGCGCGAACCGAGACGGCGCTCGATGATATCGCACACCAAGAACAAACCCACCACGTTGATACCGTGATTGAACATCTGTATGACGCTGCCGTGCAAGCCCATTTTGTTCCAAGCAAAGATACCGGCAGCTATCAAACCAACGTGCGCTATGGACGAATAGGCAATCAAACGCTTGATGTCGCGCTGCTGAATGGCGATGATGGAGGCATAAATAACGCCGATGACCGACAAGGTAATCAACACCGGCACAAAGGCAGACATCGCTTCGGGCGCAAGTGGTATAAGCCAACGGATGAGACCGTAAGCACCCATTTTAAGCATGATACCGCTCAAAAGCATGGTGCCGCCTGTGGGCGCGGCTACGTAGGTGTCAGGCTGCCAGGTGTGGAAGGGGAAAATCGGTATTTTGATGGCAAAAGCCGCGAATATCCCCGCAAACACCCAATATGCCGCCGGAGTAGTCAAGTGCACATCGTGCAAAGCTTCGTAGGCGAAAGAGTGATTGCCCGGGGTGTGCAGATACAAGTATATGAGCGATACCAACATCAGCAAACTACCCAAAAAGGTGTAGATAAAGAACTTCATGGTGATGCGGATGCGGTCAGCGCCGCCCCAGATGGCACAGATGAAATAGATGGGTATCAAGGCTAATTCGTAGAAAATATAGAATACCAAGCCATCCAAAGCCATGAAAACGCCCGTCAAGCCCGCTTGCATAAGCAGGAGCAAGCCGTAATAGAGACTTTCGTTGTGGTATTTGCGCAAGGTGCTGCTCACGATGATAAACGGCACCAAAAGGCTGGTCAGCAGCACCAACACCATACTGATGCCATCCAATCCGAGCCTGAAATTGATGCCCGCTTCGGGTATCCACGGCAGATTGACCTCGTGGCTGTACATCGCCGGACCATGAAAATTGCTCAAAGCATAGAGCGTGACCGCCAATTGTACGAGCGACAATCCCAAGGCTATGGTTCCAGCCAAGCGACCGCTCCACAACAACATGCTTAGCGCGCCTATAATAGGTATAAGTATTAAGTATAATGACATATTATTAATTCAGCATTGTCAATAAAATCAGGATAACTCCGGCTACCATGCCTAGCAAATAGTATTCTATGTTGCCATTTTGCATCTGACGGAGGCGGTTGCCGAGGGCAGAAACGCTCTCCCCTACTCCATTCACTAGCCCATCTATAGCCCACGTGTCCATATAATAATGTAAAGCTTTGGAGAGCCACTGTATTGGGCGCACAAAGATGGCATCGTATAACTCGTCAACATAAAATTTGTTGGCGAGCACCTTAGTCAAGCCGGTCTGTTGCGCATCGGCGACAGGTAGATTCTTCGTATCGTTGTAAATAAAGTAAGAGCCAACCAATACGATAAGCGCAATAACTGTAGCAATACCCATCAACATCCACTCGGTGGCGGCATCGGGCAATATCGTGTGGTCGTGCACTTTACTGATAATCGGAGTGAGCCAATGCGCCATCCATTGGTCGCCAAATATAGGAAGGATATGCGGCGTATTCAACAGACCACCAACAACCGAAAGCGCTGCCAACACCATCAAAGGTGCAGTCATGCTCAACGGACTTTCATGCAAGTGGTGGCGTTGCTCTTCGGTGCCTCTAAACTCCCCAAAAAACGTGAGATACAACAAGCGACACATATAAATAGCCGTCAAAGCCGCACTAAACGCCGCCATGCCCCACCAAAGCCAACCGCCGTGTTCGTGTGTCTTAGCGAGTATTTCGTCCTTAGAGAAGAAGCCCGAAAGCATCGGGAAACCGATAATTGCCAACGTACCTATCAAAAACACCACAAAAGTAATCGGCATCGCCTTGCGAAGCCCGCCCATATTGCGGATGTCTTGGTCGCCGCCTAAACCGTGGATCACGCTACCCGCCGCCAAGAACAACAAAGCCTTAAAAAACGCGTGCGTAGTCACATGGAACATCGCCGTAGTATATGCACCCATGCCCAATGCCAAAAACATCAAGCCGAGTTGAGAAACCGTAGAATAAGCCAGCACTTTTTTGATATCGTTCTGACGAAGCCCTATCAGCGCCGCCCAAATAGAAGTAGCCAAACCAACGGCTGCCACCACCATCAAAGCCGTGTGCGACAGGTCGTAGAGCGCATTGCAGCGCGTCACCAAGTAAATACCCGCCGTCACCATCGTAGCCGCGTGTATGAGCGCAGACACGGGCGTAGGACCCGCCATAGCGTCTGGCAACCAAGTGTAGAGCGGTATTTGCGCGCTTTTACCCATTGCGCCTACAAAAAGCAGCAAACAGATAGCCGTAATCGTGCCTTCGCCAATAGCAGACGCATTGCTGCCCAATTGACTAAACACCGCCGAATATTCCAAACTGCCGAAATTGGCGTAAATCAGGAAGATGCCCAAAAGCAAGCCCAAATCGCCTATTCTATTCATTATGAAGGCTTTACGCGCTGCCTTGCCGTATTCCTTATTGGTGTACCAGAAGCCGATGAGCAAGTAACTGCAAAGTCCCACGCCTTCCCAACCGAAGAACATCATCACAAAATTGCTGCCCATCACGAGCAACAACATCGAGAAAATGAAGAGATTGAGGTAAGCAAAAAACTTGTAGAAACCCTCGTCATCGTGCATATATCCGGTCGAATATACGTGTATCAGGAAACCGATGCCGGTGATAATCAGCATCATCCAGACGGAGAGTTGGTCCACCAAAAAGCTGAAATTGATCTGCAAATTGCCGACCGTCAGCCAGTTATACACCAACGAATGCAGCCCTTTGCCTGTGGCAGCCACTTCATTGAAGCAGAAAACCGACAACACAAAAGCCGCCAAGACACTCCCCGAGCCGATGATTCCCACCACCGTTTTGGGTAGCCGCTTACCAAAAAGACCATTGATGGCAAAACCAATCAACGGCAATAATGGTATAAAAATTAAATAATCTTGCATAGGTAATTGTACCTCTAAAATATAAAAATGCCTAATTTTTCAAATAATCCAACAGACTGATATCCGTTGACTTGGTATTGCGATAAATCATAATCAAAATACCCAAACCTACCGCAGCCTCAGCCGCCGCTACCACCATGATGAAAAACACCAGCAATTGTCCTTGCGCATCGCCCAAATAAGTGGAAAACGCAGCCAAAAGCAGATTGACAGCATTGAGCATCAGCTCCACGCACATGAGCACGATGATGGCATTGCGGCGTATCAAAACGCCCATCACGCCTATGCAAAACAGCACAGAACTCAATAAAATGTAGTGCTGTATAGGCACACTTTGTATAATATCTATCATTTTCAATGACTTCTATATGTTTAGGAATGAATCAGATAAACATGCCAGTTATTTCTACTTCATTCCCTAGTAAATTTTCAAGGCGCAAAATTAGTTTTTTTAAGACTATTAATTGCATATATGGTCGAAAAAATAAACTAATTGCGAAGAAAATAAAGGCATGAGCTAGCGGGGTTGCCACGAATGCACGAGTTTTTGCCACGAATTGCACTGCCTGTCCCGATTTTTCGGGAAATTTTCACGAACTGGAGTTCGCTTCGCTCATTGGGTGCGGTTTCCCGCAGATATACGCAGATTTAGCTGCACGCTGAAAACCGCAGAAACTCTTTTAACTCCTTTAACTCTTTGTGAGTTTTGTTGCCACGAATGCACGAATGCTATGTGTTCTATTTGCCTAGGTGTTTAATTTCCACATCGAGCATTCATATTTCATCTCTCATATTTCATATTTCCAAAAAATGGGCATGCCCCGCGAAAAAAATGCTGTTTTGCAGCACGACAACGGCAAGATAAATGAAGTATTTGGAGCATCCTACTCGCTAAAGGCTTTCTGCAAGCATTTTTTCGAGGGTCGGGCTATCCGCTATATCCCGAAAAAAACGCCTTTGGGCGGTGTGGGTAGCTTGGTGGTTCGTTCAAGGCGTTTTTCGGGATGCCGCTGCTATCCCTCATGCGGGGTGTTCGGGTTGGCTTAGGCTTTTCGACCCGCTTTTACTTCTGCATTCTACACTCATGTACTCGGCATTCATGTATTCCATGCAAAGTGCCTTAAAAGTATGTGGCATTTGTTGTAGAAGATTTAAAAATGAATTACAATTGCATCGATGATGAATGTTTGTCTCACTTTGTCAAGGAGAAATTTTGAATTGCCGTAAAGGGGCGTTAGCCCTGACATCTTTGTAGGGAAAACGGGAGCGACAATTCGCTAGAGACCGTCTGGCAAATTGAGGCGGGTATTACATGTCAATTTGCTACACAGTATGTAGCAAATTGACATGTAATACAGTACTTAATCTCGCACTAGCACGCAGTTGGCTTATCTTTTTACGACCTTAACCACAGCTTTCCGATAACCATCCCATACTTCAACAAAATAAATCCCCGCTTCCGCGTCAATGCTAAATTCAAGAAGATTCGTATCCGTAAACGGTTTCCTTAATAATTCCTGCCCCAAGTAGTTGCGTACAATTACGCTTGCAGTGGACAGTGTTTCTTCGAATGACAGGTATATTTTCCCATCGGTTGGGTTGGGATAAACTAAAATTTTGCTGCTTAAGCCGTTTATAATTTGGGTACCGGTTGTGGTGTTTTGGCTTAGCTTTTGGATAAATATATCCTCCAAGCCCGCCGATGTTAAGTTAGCAACACCAGCGCTTGGGTCAAAATCACATGTTTGTTTAAAATTACCAGAGGTATATACATTCCCGGAAGCATCGATGCCTATCCCAATTGATAAATCTTCATTTGTGCCTCCCATACTTTTTGCCCATACAAAATTGCCCGATGCATCCAATTTGCTTACAAAAACATCACTACCTCCTGCTGATGTAAGGGTTGTGGTTTCGGCGCTAGGATTAAAATCAGAAATTCCTGAAAAAACACCTGCTGCATATACATTCCCAGAGGCATCGACGGCTATCCCAGTAGCTAGATCTTCACTTGTGCCGCCCATACTTTTCAGCCACACAAAATTGCCTGAGGCGTTCAATTTGCTTATGAAAATATCATTTCCTCCTGCGGAGTTAACAATACCAAAAGTTCCTTGAAAGTTCCCAATAGTATATACATTTCCTAGAGAATCTAAGGACAACCCATAAAGTAAATCGGTATCAAGTCCACCCAAGCGTTTTGCCCATACGTAATTGCCTGAGGCATTCAACTTGCTTATAAAAATTTCATCATATCCAGTAAGGTAAGCTGTACCCATGCCTGGGTTGAAATCAATCTGATTAAAATAATTTCCCGCAGTGAATACATTACCTAAAGTATCAATAGCTATCCCTTTCCCAGATGCATAGCTGCCGTTTGTTCCACCAAAAGATTTTACCCAAACTAAATTGCCAGATGAGTCCAATTTACTAACTGACCTTTCGCAGGTCAAAAATTATGAGAATTGATAAATTTTACAGATATGATAAAAAGGTATGCTTATGGGCATAACGCTTGGGTGGACTTGATACCGATTTACTTTATGGGTTGTCCTTAGATTCTCTAGGAAATGTATATACTATTGGGAACTTTCAAGGAACNGTTTAATTATCAAGATTGGAAAATCCAAATCCTTGAAGTAAACAATTTGACATGGATTGTTCTGCCACTCTAGCTCCGAGACTTTTACATACTTGCCGTTTTTTTTGTCTTCAGTTGTCAAAGCAATGGTGCGATTACTTTTAATCGCACTGATGAAGGTTTTCTTGAGCTCATTGTGTACAAAATCAAAGTTTTCTACAGAAGAATACCAAGAATCCCACAGTACGGTTTGGAATTGCACTCTGTTGACAAAGTATAAAATGCGTAAACGATCACGAACAATCTCATTCTTTCCTCGTGTACTACGCCTTTTTTGCAGCTTTGTCTTTTCATCAAAGTATTGTTCCGTCTTTTCAACAATCTCAAATGCAATTGGCAATGAGAACTTTGAATTGCTACTTTGGTGCGGTTGATACACAAAATTTAGGATATTTATTCCCTTGATTGTACGACCAGTTGTATGATCGTAATTCCAACATACAATCTCATTCTCTGTCGAATGTGGTTTCTCCGATATGGTATCATCAACCTTGATGATTCCTTTCGAACTTTCCACCCGCCTTAAAATGGATTTGACGGCTTGCCAATAATCCTTTTGTGTAAACTCGCGCTTGCTTAATAACCTGCTGATTCTGTCGTGGCTTACTGCAGTATCTAATAACTCTGATAATCCAGTACTTGTCACTAACCGCATCGAGGAGATTAAGTAATCTGTGTAAATGTCTAATAATTCGTAATCGCTCATGACTTTGCTTTATTCCGCAAAGATCGCGCTTTAATCTAATTTTTCAAATATCCAAATTTTTCACCTGCGAAAGGTCAGTTACTAACAAAAGTAGCACCGCTTGCACTAAATATTACATCATTACCCACGCCTGGATCAAAATCACCACTTCCGTAAAAACTACCTGTAGTATATACATTCCCTAGCATATCAATGGATATAGCATTTACACTAGGAGTACTTTGACCTCCCATACTTTTTGCCCAGAGGAAATTACCAGAGTAATCCAGTTTACTGACAAAAATATCGGGAGCTCCTGAGGAAGTTAGGTTAGTAATACCTGGTCCAGGATCAAAATCAGCTATGAAATCAAAAAGTCCTGTGACGTATACATTTCCGAAGACATCCACAGTTATGGCATGACCAAAAGCATCCGAACCTATTCCTCCCATTTGTTTTGCCCACACCAAGTTGCCTGAGGCATCTAATTTGGTCACAAAAACATCTACTCTACCTTTTGCAGTCAGATTTAATATACCTGAGCCTGGATCAAAATCAACTGTTTGTTCATCATTAAATGACCCCGTGATATATACATTCCCTGAGGCATCTACAGCCATCCCTCTCACAATATCAGAATCTGTCCCGCCTATCCGTTTCGCCCATTCAAAGGACTGTGCATTAGTATAAAGGGCAATTGTCAATATGGCAATTGCTGTAGCTAATTTTTTCATTTTTAAGATTTTATATTAGATAATTAATTGTTTGTAGAGTAACCAAGCTTGATGCTTGGATGTCACTTGAAATTTCCGATTGTGCTAACATACACAGACAAAAAGTCCAATCACCAAGCCAACACCAGAAAATTAGTATATTTCTTTTCCAAGCCTTGCAGCTATTCCAAATAATTGAGTCACAAAGGTAATAATTACAGCGATTATTTAGCTATATATTTTTCTTGCCGGCTCGAGTCTATCCCCAAGCCAATGGCGCAGCCACACACAACGCTAGTGTGTGGCTGCAAAGCCTCGTGCAACTATTGCGTCGGCTGTGCCGACATACGCGGAGCACAAAACTCAAGCCGCTCCTACCAACCAAAAGAAAGCTGCTGCCTTTGCACCAAGCTACCTTTGCAGGCACAAATGTAACTACTTTACTTTGTTTTTTTTTATGTCAATGAACGTTTTTAGCGTCTTTTGCGATTAAATTCCTTTTTTTGAGCATATATTTACGGCAGAAAACTGATACACACTATGAAAGACGATAAGATAAACATTGATAATCTTGAACATATTACGCATGATGGCTTATTCCAAGTATTCTTTGGGGTAAAAAATGTGCCCACTAGCCCTAGACTATCCCCAGCTAGCTCTAGACTGTCCCCAAGCCCGTGGCGCAGCCACGGCTTACAGCCTCGGACCTCTATTGCGTCGGCTGTGCCGACATATGCGAAGCTCAAAACCCAAGCTTTTCCGACCGACCAAAAGAAAGCAGCTGCCTTTGTAGTCACAAAGATAACTAGCCCCACAAACATACAGAATTTTCCACAGAAAGAAACATTTTTTTTGATTTTGTGACTATATTTACGGCAGAAAACTGGTACACACTATGAAAGACGATAAGATAAACATTGATAATCTTGAACATATTACGCATGATGGCTTATTCCAAGTATTCTTTGGGGTGAAAAATGTGGCTATTGATTTCTTGCGGTCGGAGTTGCCGCCCCATTTATTGCAGCAAATAGACCTAGACTCAATGACAAAGGAAGATACATCCTTTGTGAGTACTCGATTCACCAAATCTTTTTTGGATATCATGTATTCGGGTAGATTTACGAATGAAAATGACCTTAGAATCTGCTTTCTCTTTGAGCATAAAAGCCGCCCTGCTCGTGAGGGGTTTGCAACCCCGTACGCACTGTCTGCAGGTTTGTAACCTGCATTTATATTCTAA